CACTTGGCAACAGCGGCAAGGAAATACTTCCTTTTAAAAGGCAGAAACCTCGAGCAGACCCCGGCTCTAGGAGGGCGTCTGTGTGCCTAAACCAGAATTCAACCCCTAACACTCAATACTTCACCACAACACACGTAAACTGCATGATAGAAATATAATGTGTGTACCAATCAACAACCAAAAGTTCGCACACATCAATAAATGAATTCACAAATGCTGTAATAGAAATGCACATACTGGACACAGGAAAAAAGCATAAAAGGTTAAATTAGCAGACATAAAGACATTGCCCAGCAGCAGCAAATACTTAGCTTCGCAAAGTTAATCAGTGATGGCCAGTAGGCAGTAAACCCTTTGATAAGAATCACTGTGTTCCCAATACTGAAAAATCTCCACTTCTGGCCCGATTTACACTTTTATGGCTGACAAAATGACTGATGAATGGAGCTATGAAATTAGGAAACAGCAGTGGGAAAGGTGGGGCAAACAAAATTACTCCTGATATAATATAATCAGACTGTTTAAGCAAGTCAAGCAGCATGTGATTGTTTAAGCAGCAAAGGCACAAAAGAATGGAGGGAGCATTGACAGCTTAATTAGATCGCCTTATTGCAAAGGTTGCATTGGATATACATAGGGAGCTGCTACTTTATGCCATGTGTGCGTGTTGCAGTACACTCAGTTGTCAGCCTGAGCTAGCTCGCAGGCTTCAGGCATTTTCCTGTCAGGTTAGGGCTGTGGGGCAGGAAGCTCCGACTGCCGCTTATGGGGTTAGTTTGTTTTTTTACTGCAACAGGTAGCTGTTGGATTGGTTTTTCACAGCCTTACATCATCCACAGCAAGGTTTTTTTTTCATAACTGCATTTACGAGTGATGAATCTTTGTTCATTTTCTGGTGAGCGAAATTATGTGTGGAAACTAGTAACCTGCAGCTTAAATGTAGTTCTGTTGTGTGGTGCGGAAAAACATATTTTATTTGTGTTTTTAATTAAGTAGCATGTTCAGTGACATCTCTAAACCCAACTTTTATTTACTCTTTTCCAGTTACCCAGCTGTATGTGAGTTCCTACAGAGCAATAACCTATTATCAATCATCCGAGCACATGAAGCACAAGATGCAGGGTATGTTATCCCTATAACACAAATAAAAAGACACACATATCCAAACAAATAAAAACAGATATATATTTACATATATAAGCACACTTTTTTCTGTCTTTACCTCCACCTGCCCACCTAAAAGCTACCGGATGTACCGTAAAAGTCAGACCACTGGATTCCCATCTCTCATTACCATCTTCTCAGCACCAAACTACCTGGATGTTTACAACAACAAAGGTCAGAAAGTCTCTTTGTTCATTTTATGCCCGTCTTTGTTTCAGTTTGCAGTTTGATTTGCAGTTTTGTCTTTTGTTTCTGCTTGCATCTGTATCTTTTTTTTCTTCTTTTATGTAAAATAAATATATTCCTGTTGAAAATGTATTATTTCCATATATCATGTAATTTCTGTGGCTATGTACAGTAGAAAGGCAGGACTTGAGAGTTTCATTTACTGTTAAATTAAATGTTACAACAGCAAACAAACATGAAAACATGATGTTAAAGAGAGGTGCCCCAGTTGCAGTGTCTCTGTAGCACCTGCACCTCTGGAGTTTTAACTGCATCTGGGTTAGATTTTATGAAAAACACTTCACTTCACGTCTGACAAAATGACTACCATGGGCTCCTCCGACTTTCTTATTAAAATGGTTTCAACAGCATAAACTGTAGTGTATGGGTTAATGTAACTGCATTTAGCTTGTGAGCAGGCATAAGAATGCATCAGGGAGCCCCCGTTTGTTTGTGTTCTCAGATCTGTGTCTTGGTTGCTATGGGCTGTGGGAGATGGGGAGCGTGGGAGGGACTGTCGGCATCGCTGACTATCTCCATGTGGCTTTATCCCTCTTGATGTAACAGTGTCAGCAATCCCTGGCCTCAGCTAGGCCATCTAGTGGTTGAATGTCTCATTTTCCTCTCTGCCTCTGTTCTCACGCATACTGCATATACAGAGGGGGCTTTTTGAAAAACATCACAGATCATGAATACATTTTAAGAGAGCATATACCTAACATTGTTGTGCATATGGCTATATTAAAAATATCCTGCACCGTGAACACTATAAAACAAAATGACAGTGTGTGTATTGTGCAGGCTGCCGTTGCTCTGAATGATTTTTGTTATGTAAGTATAGATTTGTGCATCACATTTTCCTTTAAGCAAATGTCCTAAAAACATCAGATTCTATTAAACATTTCTCACAGCATAATAATTTTGGAGAAGGCTATTAACTTAAAATGTATCTGCTTTGATCATTCAGAGTGTGAATATATGGCCTTAAATGGCACTAAGTACAACAAATAAGACTGAAAAGACACATGCTCCAACTTAAATAAGCCACAGCATCCATTCTGAGTTGGAGTTTTAGTTAAGGTTTGTTGTCATTTAATCATGCTCACCACAAGGGCTCATGCTTTGGTGAACTCTGGGTGTGTATGTGAGTGTTTGTATATGCCTCTGCATGATATGCCATGACAGGACTGACACTTTGCAACCCTGTCCCTCTCTCTGCACATGGCCCATAAGGCTTTCTTTAACTCAGTTTCATTGTACACTTAATGATGCTTTCATGGGCTGAGCAGCAACAAGACAGACTCACTTTGGCTCTTTAGACCTCTAATCCTTAAGTTTTTTTTAGATACAACAATTAGAGTCTGGAAATATAGATTGACTTATCATTATTTAGCCTACTGAGCAGAGTTCTTAATTTTGCATTATATGATACCTTTTTCCAGAAATTGTATGTAATCAAAACGTAAAGCGTACAATAAGTCTGTCACCAGGCTATAGGATTCTGCGAGGGTCAAGAGGAAAATGTTACTCTACCATCTCTCTTCTGCACCCCCAACAGCTGCTGTACTGAAATATGAAAATAACGTCATGAACATCCGACAGTTCAACTGCTCACCCCATCCATACTGGCTGCCCAACTTCATGGATGTCTTCACCTGGTCTCTGCCATTTGTTGGAGAGAAAGGTATTAAGTCTTCTGATACAGCACCACAACCTAATCTGTTATCAGTGATTTCACTTTTTTCCTACACTCTTATTTATTTCCCAGTCACAGAAATGCTGGTGAATGTGCTGAGCATCTGTTCTGATGATGAACTAATGAATGAGGAAGATGAGATCTTTGATGGTAAGAAGTTTTCTAAATGATTTAATAATTCATTTTTCATATTTATCATGAGTGCATCTTGGGTTCAATCCAGACTAGATCTTTGATGGAATGAGATCTACACACAACTGCACACTAAATTCAGTAAATTGTCACTTAATCTTGATATGTTAACTATGGAACTAAAACAGTAGTTTATAGTTACCAGTAAAATAGAGATTTGTGCTTTACTACATTACAAAACATACAGAGATTATGTTATTGCATCAGAGTCCAATAAACACAGTTTCTGAATCACTACATACAGGCTATGATAACAGAGTCTATAGTATAATGTCAAGTGTACATGGGGATATAATTACAGTATCTAATGGATTACAATAGCCTATGTTAACCTGTGGTCTATTATCACAGTATCCTATGCATCAAGAAACAGATATGATAATTAATGTATTTTATGCATTATATAACCCTACAAACAGTTTCTCATGCATCATAATAACAGCTTATAATGACAGAATACATATATATATTTATTTGCAGCCAATGCAGCTGCAGCACGCAAGGAGGTGATCAAAAACAAGATCCGTGCTATTGGGAAAATGGCCAAAATGTTCTCAGTTCTCAGGTAGACCTTATGTTTGTGTGTGTGAATGTAAGTATGAGTGTATGTACACTACGTGTGTAGAGTGAGTGTGCGGGTGCAGACACTGTATGTTTATACACTGTTGTCAAAGTGGGGGATAAAGTTGTTTTTTTCCAGTTTGATCAGGGTTCAGTAAGGTTTTCTGACCTGTCTGTGTGTTTCCTGCAGAGAGGAGAGTGAAAATGTGTTGACGCTTAAGGGCCTGACACCCACTGGCATGCTGCCGAGCGGGGTTCTCTCTGGAGGCAGACAGACACTGCAGAGCGGTGAGTACATGGCGCAGCATAAGCCTTTTCTCAACCCTTTACTCCATCTTGTTTGTTTCATTTCTTCATCACCATTCTCAGTCCCACCATTGGTCTTACCTCTCTGTTTCTTTCTCTCCTTTTCTGACTTTAATGTAGAGCAGCCAGCAAGCTTTATTTTTTAGCCTCTTAGTGATGCTCTGATCACATTAAAGCCACAGAAGAACCTAAGGTTACAGACACAACCAAAACATTTTTTTTATATTTCTGTTGACACATTGCAGCAGTCACAAAATATATATGTCCTGCATACATGCATCACAATGTTACTAGAACTTGTCTGTATCCAAGATCATAAAAAGACTGAAGTCCCATATATCCATGCCTGGACCATAATCATAAATCCACACATAAACTTGAAGCTGCATTAAGCAATTTCTTTAGTTATAGGTGGCAGAAAAACAGACTCACACCAACATAGCCCTATCCGATTAACAAGTTGTTACAGCTGACATGTTAGCTTACAATTGCTTACTTGAAAATTGAAATTTCAAGTTAAGTATATTATATCCTCACATTTAGTTGTAGCTTGGTTTCTAAGAAAAATATGTCTCTTGCTACATGATATATTTCCTTTAGCAGCCCCATCCTTTACCCCAACAAACTAACTAACTGCATTCAGCATAGAGCTGTAGGGTTCAGTGTTGAATCACTGTGGGATTGGCAGTACAAGCGACCACAAAGAGTTGATTCTGTTTTCAAATAAAAATAAAGATTTTAAAATCAAGGTTTAGCTATCTCTAACCCAATCGTTGTGTTTGTGCACAAAACCTAGGTGGGGTCCATGATTGTGTGTCACTACTGTAGCATAAACAATAACATAAAACGGGCAGAACAATACGTTTCTGTTCTCTTTTAGTTTCTCTTACCTAAAACCTATTACAGTCTCAACTCTCTCAACTCTATATACAGTCTATTTATCTTTCTGTCTCAATGTCTCTGTCATTCTCTCTCTAAGGATCTATCTTTATACTGATGTTAATTCTTTCAGTATTAATGCATGGCACTCCTCTGAGTTTGGCTGCATTGCCGGTGAACATGTATAACTCATCTGGCCTAACATGAGCCGCCTTTTCGCTGGAGCTGCATTTTACATTTGCATGGCTTTATCAGGAGTAACCTGCTCCCCTCCTCCCCCCTCAGCCACCATTGAAGCCATTGAAGCCATCGAGCCGAGTGAAGAAGAAGGTAAACCTGTGCTCCCCCTCTTCCACCCCCTCAACATATTGTCAGGGTTTCCTGCTACAGAGGCCACCTGCCACTGACAGTTCATGAACACAACATCTCACACAATAACAACTCCATCAAGCAACATTTCACAGGACAGTTTGATGCTGGAATGGCTGGCACTTTACTTTGCAGTACCATTGATTAAAGCAGATATCCAACGAGATGAGTGGATTGAACATAAGAATCATATTTTTATCAAACAAAAACACGAGTTAAAATTAGATAAATGGTTATTAGTAATGTAGGTCACCTTATGCACAGTGAGGATTTTTAAGGAATAGTTTTCTAATGGGTGCGTGAGTAGTATAGAGTAAAATATCTCACAATTGGTAGCATTTGCTGGGTGGGAAGCTGGTGAGGGATCATGTTCTTGTCACTGCTTGGTCGAGGCACATGAGAGGGAAGGGAACTGAGGAGATAACATGAATTGTTGTACACTTAATGGACTCCTGGTCCTTGCAGACATATGAAAAAAAAAATCCACAGTTCCTCCATGTGCATCAATCTTCTTCTAGTTCTCACTGCCTATAGCAACATAATGAAGCTTAGCACGGACAACGACTGTTGCACACATTTGAAGTTGGTCAAAGTGGGAGAAAAGGAGGAAAGGAAAATGATAAATGAAAAAGGATTAGCTTTTTAAGGCATCAGGACATAAATTTAAAAAAATTAAAAAAAATTAAAAATTAAAATTAAAACACTGCAAAGTCAAGTGCTGCTAAGAGATGCATGACTAAAATACTTCATTGTTTTTGGTTTGGATTTTAAACGGCCTCCATCTGGTTCTTAAAAACCATGTCGCATGTACAAGAACAAGAAACAGACCAGAGCATCAACATGAAATATGCATTCTGAATCCGCAGTTCTTCGTGATATGTCTGAGGTAATCATTGTTCACTAACCAAGATGCTTCAGTATGCAACAGCAAGTATGCAATAGCATAAATATATATGTATTTACATGCATATACTGAAAAAAATCGCAGGATGGTTAACATTGGTATTAATTGTTTAGAAATGTATTTTTTCAAAATGATGGTAAGTTAACTGAGGTAGTTGCTGTGTTTTTCTTTCCATCTATGTTTGGCTTATTTAGAAAATAATGTAATACAAAAGCCTCAAGTCACAATGATACAGGGCTTTGTAGACTTTCTTCTTTAATCTGATTTATTTTCTATTGACTCTTGATACTGGTGTGAAACAAAGTATGGCAGTTTTAAATGTGTAAAACAACAGGATATCAGTTGAGAGGGGGGCAGTTTGACTTGATGAAAGACTCTTCTACACATCAAACTAAGTGTAAAGCATGTGATATTGCCTTTCATTTTAACACTTGTGCCACCTTCAGGCAAGGACTCTTACAACTCGCTTTTTTATAGTGTTTGAGTGGTACAAAGTGTTACAATTGCACTCTCAAAAATAATGCACTGACTTAAATTAAACAGTTGAACCAACTTAATATTGATTTCAAAGTTGTGATATTGAGTGGTCAAGTTTTACTTCCATTTTACTTAAAAATGTCCAAATTGTTGTTGAAATTGTACCTCAGTTTCTTTGAGAATAAGTACATAATTAATTTCACTTAAGTCAATAACACATAGAAATCCCAGTTTTTATTATCAGACTATTAATTAAAAAACTATTTAAGTCCATTAAGTTTATTATAACCATGAACATTTTTATACAACTCATCTTTGCACACATTACCACTTCCAACAATAAAAAATTAAATTAAGGCCAGACTAAACCTGTTCCATATTCCCAAATAGGATATTTGCAGACTTTCAGCAGGAAGTTTCCCTCAGATAAAACAAAACATAATTTACCACATATTCAAATTATTAATATGGATTTTAAAGGGCTGATCCTCTGAACTGGATCCAGCTTTTCAACTTCTGTGCATGTTAATAGAAAACATTGCAGATTAAGTGCAAAGATATTCATACATTTAGTGTTGCAGCTGTTTCCTGCCCGCAACACAGATTATTTTTTTAGTTGCAGCTAAATTAACCAACTTTAACCTCACTCAATAATTACTAGGCTAACGCTAGGCTTTAAACATCGACGTGGCATCGATTGTAAACCAAAATATATTTAGCAACCTAAATTTGTTACAGATTCAGTTATGAATGTCAAACAGCCCACCCATGCAGCTGTTGCTGACCAAACCTCAATTAACCTATAGTGCCAACTTTAAATTAGGACGAAGCAAAACCCTTATCTTCTTACCTCTGCAGTGTATTTTTTCAAAATGATGGTAAGTTAACTGAGGTAGTTGCTGTGTTTTTCTTTCCATCTATGTTTGGCTTATTTAGAAAATAATGTAATACAAAAGCCACAAGTTCAGTGCCAATGAACATGATTTGGCTGTCACTGTGAAACAAAAAAGACTACTTTGAAGACACTGTTAGTTAGTTGAAACTACTGTTCTTTAGAATTGCTAAATTAGCTTAGGACAAGATTTAATTTAACTTAAGTTTAGTGCTGCATGAAAACGATATCTTGCACTGTGTGCTGATACAATTGATACAATAGCAGCTGTTGTGAATAAAAGTAAGAAAAAATAGTTACTTACCTGGTTGAGCACAAGTTAAATACGTGCAGGCTTTCACCAGGAAGTTGACCATGAAAGAAACTAAAGAAAAGAAAAACATATATGATTATGATACATTAGTTAACAATGTTCTTTATTTTCATTTTCTGGGCAAATCAAAACAAAAATGTCCCATTTTTTGTGTTTTTTGTACACTCATTTGTTATTGAAATAAGCACATTTGTTCCTAATAGGGATTGACACGCTGTGCTTGTGTCTTTTTCGCTATAATGCCTGGGAAATCCCAACAGTATTTGATATTTTAGGTGAAATAAACAAGTAGAGACGATATCAGGAATATTCTGAGATTGTGCATTACAAGGTGAGTCTGACCCCTTTATATGTGTTTACTCTTTCCAGCCATCCGTGGGTTCTCCCCCCAGCACAAGATCACCAGCTTTGAGGAGGCTAAGGGCCTTGACCGCATCAACGAGCGCATGCCACCTCGCAGGGACGGGGTGAACCATGTGGGTCACTCCATGGGAAAGATGAATATGTCAGAGGAAAACGGCACGGATGACAACAGCAACATCCAGTGATGTCTGAGCCTCAGAACCGTGCCGCTGTTGCGCTTTGCAGCAAGACATTGCCAAATCGGGAATTCAGGCCTCAGAGCATAGAAATAAACCAGGCCCACAGACAGAACATGAAACCTGCAGCAAATCTAAAAACGGGCGAAAACGGTCATTTTTTTCATGACAGTATGTCATCGCACAGTTGGGGGAGGGGGGAGCTGGGGTTCACAGCAGAGGGCGGGGATAAGGAGAGGCCAGCGGGCTTCAGCTTGACTGGTTGAAAGTTGTTTCTCCCTGTTGTCCCCTTTCTCAGTTCAATTACAGGCTGAATTGTTGGCGGTTGTGTTGTTCTGAGTGCTGACAAATGTCTGCTCCTTTAATACAGGGCCTGACAGAAGACATAATTGCAGTATCCATGCCACACAAATCATGTTACTGTTTCATAAAGTGTTTATTATGAATCACTCACAAAAATCACTTCATGAAGAAATTAATCTTACATGTTTACTTACATTTTTGCTAGTATTAACAAGTCACGCCACTTTGTGAGAGATAAAGCAAAAAAGAAAGCAAGCCAAACGTGTACCTCTTAAAACTTGCAGTGCAATCTTGCCAGTGGACTTAAATTTATTGATTTACCTCGTAGTAAGATGCCGTCATGCTGCGAGGGAAAGAGGGCAAGGTGCTCACAGCTCTGGCCTAAACTGGCCCCTCACTACTCTATAGGACTGCTCCTTTCCTCACCTCCCTCACTATCAGTCATCTTCTAGCAAGAAATAACTTGGAGGGGATGAGGGAAGAAAGAGGAGGGGGTGAAAGGAGCATTAGGACAATTTGGTTCCACTGCTTACTGTAGATACCTCAGCCTCACAGATTAAACACCAAGATTTAACGTCTGCAAATGTCCCCAAAAGGAACACACTATCCCATGTGAAGATGCAACTTTATCAGCCTCCGTAGGTGAATCTCAAAGGATTATATTCTCATCCAGACTATCTTCAAATTTATTTTCTTCCTCTCCATTAAATGTTTAAGTAGTTCAAATTAAAGAAGCATGGCATTTGATCAAGCTATACCTCACACATGTGGCGTGCTATTCACTTTCTGGAAAGAATACACTCGAGCATCCTCTGCTGAAGGAGGCTTTGGATCGTGGGTTTCTCATCTCTTCTGCTTTGCTACGTCTGGCAACGACGAAGGCTAACAACTGTTTCTGGACATCAGAAGAGAAGAAGTGATTTTTGAACTTTGGGACATACCGTGCTGTCACACTCTACCTGATTATTATCACCTGCTTGTCGCTAAAGAGAAAGTAAAAGAATATGTGCAGTCACTCAAGTATACATTAGCACCCTTTGAGTTTTTTGCACCTTTTGCTTTGTTGCAAATTAAATGAGATTTCATGCACAAGAGCTACACAAAGTATGATATCAGAGTGAGAAGGAAATTCTACAAAATTTGTGAATGCATACAATTAAATTATCTTTTGTTTAAAGAGTATTTAACAACCACACGCCATTGTGTCATTTGGAATAATCAGGCTTGGATCCATCCTGAAATTTATTTAAGTGATTTTAAGAAGACCAGATAAGAGTTAATTAATGCTATTTTTGAGTACAAATGCAATTTCATTTTCACTCAAATTGATTTTAGATTTTAGAACTTAAAGCTGTCAGAAATACTTCATCATGAAAACTTTGGTTAATGAATCGTCCATATTGCATCTAAGTGTGTTAATCATATCTCATTTATTGTTTTTCTATCAATTTTTCTAATCGAATCTAATTCTAAAGTGCACCCACACTGTGATCCAACTAAAACATCTATTGCCATGTCCAAATATTGTGTCAAAATACTTTGACGATAGAAGAAGACAAACCAAATTAAAACAGGAAGCCATCCGGTTCTTTCATAATAAAAAATTCTAGAAAGTCAGTACCAGTGCAGCCCCAACCTTGAGCGACACATACTATCACATAAATTTCTAGAATTTCCTTTCATACGTTAATATATTTTCTACTTTATATTCCATCTTTCTATTTAATGATAAAGGTATGTGAAATTAGGCTGGGCAAAAAGTGGTTTTTAACACAGCATCTATGGTACGGAACGCATCAATGCATGCAATTAAGTTCCTAATTGTAATGTGAGATTATAATTGTGATAGTTGTGTTTCAAATAGTAAACTTGAATTATTTTATTTTTGAATTATATTTGTAGTTTTATTTGTCTTGTTTTATAAATTTTATAAATAGGCTTCCTTTGATTGTTTTTGTCCATTTTTTCATTCTGTTATTTATTACCACTGCTTTTAATTTTATATTGATTTATTGTATGCAGAGATTCCCTTCTAAGGTATGAAGCCTTGTGTTAATTTTTATTTTTTTTTCTGTTGTACTGATGTACAGAAAATGTTCAATAGTGTGAATGAATATAATCTCAGTGAAAAGCAACTTTCAGGCTGCCAAAGCATGATAGCATGGTTTTCAGATGTAAATGAATTGGACACAAAGAAAATCATGTGTCGCACTTAAGTTTAACAGGAAACATTGTACTCTGGTTATATTTACTGCTGATATTATTATTGTTACAATTTAGCTTATGGTTATTTTCCTTCCTCTGTTTCTGGTTCTTGTATGGTCTACATGCATATTTCAACAAACAACTATAATGGATTTTATCTTGCAACATTTTTTATTATCTATGGAAATATGTTTTCGCATCTGACTTCCTAAATGATACACACATTGTAAGCATGCCCTATGGGACAAATCACATTTTTTTACTCTTGAATAAAATATGCATGAACAAAAATGTGTCGCACAGTTTCACTCATTAATGGACATGATTATGGTGTTATTCTAACTTACACCTTCACTTACAAGCAGACACAACCCCTAAAATATAAATAAGTGTCGGACTCATGGACAGAATATTTATTACACTTAAAGTTGGTTTCTGTATCAGAATCGTCACACTACAGTATCTTTCATCTAACTAAATCTGCCTTAATGTCATGGCGAAATGTTTATAATCATGTCAATGACCAATTCTTACACATATGAAGACAGTTTGCCATTTATAGTAGTTCTATTAGCTAAATATGGAGTTTTGTTGGTCGTTTTTGTTTTCATTAGGCTATTTGAGATTGGTTTTATTAAATTTAAAATGGGTCCATCCAGTTCATCTCTTCTGTCACTGCAAGTCAAAGACAGGAATGGCTAAACTGAAAGAAAATAAATCACTTATCGGAACATCAGTTTTGTATATGCTCCTGCACCTGAATGCATCACAAGCAAGTGTCGGATGTAGGCCTTTAGTGAAAGACATTGAATGCAGCAGCAACATCACTATACACCTGTTTATGTTACTCAACCTTCTGGGTTATTCTAAGTACAATTGTGCAATATAGACCATAACAAAACTAACGTGCTAACAAACAAACAACCGAGTAAACAACACATTGACTCATATCACTGTCGGGGAGCTACAGGATGTGACGTCGCCTGTGTTTTGCCTCCCCCTCCTGTCCATCAGCTGAGGAGAGCCCAGTTTAATGTTAACAGGGTGGCCCTTTAAACAGCTCCCCAAAGCCAGGCAGCAGAAAAACAGTCGGCCTTTCAGACTCTCAGCTTTTTTTATTTAAAAAAAAAAAAAAAAAGAAAAGAAAGAAATTAAAAAATGGCCCAGCTGCAGGCCAGTTCACAGCCTGACAACAGCCGCCATCGTCTGCGAATCGGATACTGCGAAGGACTTTGAGTGACTGCGGGCTCGCACCTCGCTAACGTTACGCAGCTGTCTGAAACCAAAGCTAATCGGCTATCTAGCGTTAGCTGCGGCGGGCTCGGCTTGCCATATGATATTGACGCACATTGCACAGGGACAGACCTCTATTAGACAGCGACTGGATCCGCTAAAAAAGAAAAACATAACCCCCCCACCCCCTCTCCTCTTCTCCCCGTAACGTTGAAATGGACAAAGACGAAGCAGACCGGCTGATAGAGAAGGCGAAGCTGTGTTTACGGTCGGGACGGAAAGATCGGGCGCTGCAGCTGCTATATGAAGCCCAGAATATTTACCCCAGCACCCGGGCCAGAGGTAAAATTAGCTGACGCACATTCTGCACTGGCAGTCTTGACTAGCTTAACGTGGGTCAACTAGGTTTCTGTGCACTGGCCAGCTGGCTAACTAACTGTGGACTTTTTCAGATTCAAGATGGGTGCACGGAATTGCTATTTTTAGACTGGGGGGGGGTAATAAAGTGTAAAGGCTGTTCAGGCTGCATGCTGAAATGTTAGTGCTGTTATTTGCTCCCTTCCCCCTTTACAGACAGCACTAACGGGCTGTCTCTCTCTCCAGTTGCTCTCTACCTTGCCTAATTGCTTTTGCAGTAATGGCATCATAAGCAGGGTGATTCAGAGTTGTCATAGATGAGTTGTAGCTCACTGTATTAAAGCTTCATGCTGTTTTTTTTTTTATAGGTAGACATATAGATGGGGGTCACATGTGGAAAGGAAAAAACATAAATAGATGAGTTCACTGAATGGTTGGATAATCATAAAAACACAAAATCAGGTGGAAGAAGGTGTTCTGGATGCGTATGGGGGCCAATATCCATACTGAGATACTACATCTGTTTTTTTCTTTTTAATTTGTCATCAATCTGTATGTTCACGCCCTACCATGTATATTTCTGTTGGCCAGTAACCCTGATTCAATTGAAATTGTGATTTTGAACATTTGACCTGACTTGAACTGTGCTCTTGTTATTGCTGTACAGTGCTGATAGACGCCATAGTAAAGAATGGAGACGCCACTGCTCCAGAGGGAAACCACGTGCCCCCGCCAACGGGCTGGAGAGACGAGGACATTAGAAACAACGGCACAAGTAACGCGAGTGGCGATGAAAAGAAGAGCTACACCGAGGACCAACGTCAGGGTGTTCTCAGGTGCACAGAGGCTCTTTACTCATTTACATTTGTGTACATGTAATCGCTATTGGGTGAAGAGTACACACACTTCACATGACCTCGTATGAGTCAGAGAGAGAGTTAGGTTTAAGTTTTAAGTTCAGGCTTGGGGTTTGTTTTTTTTTTCACATCCATTTATGCTTTTTGTTATTGCAGGATAAAAAATTGCAAGGACTTTTATGAAATCCTTGGTGTTACCAAAAACGCCAGCGATGAAGATTTGAAGAAGGCGTACAGGAAATTGGCCCTCAAGTTCCACCCCGACAAGAACTTCGCTCCAGGAGCCACAGATGCTTTCAAAGGTACGACTTTTGGCAGAGGAGAGAGAACAAACTGCTTTCTTCTGCGAGCTGCAATAGCGACAGTTCTCTTGTTATTGTATCTGAGAAAAAAAGGTCCTTCTGAGCACTACTCTCGCATAATGACAAGCTTCTAATGAGCCCACGACATTCATTCGTGTCATTAAATCAGAGGTCATAGTCAGTTCAAGAGCAGCACCGTTGTGCTGGTAGTGTCGTGTTTAAACAAACATCAGCAGGCGAGAGGCTTGACGCTGTGTCATCCAGTTTTACCAGTTTTAATTAAGTTCAGAAATTCTGTGTAGAGCTCTAAGTATTGATTCATGGCAGGGGTTTTCAAACTGTGAGGCGCACCTCCCTAAGAGGGCGTGGGAGAGTTTCAAGCGCGGTGCGGAGGAAGAGACATGAGGCAAAGATGCTGTATGAGGTCAAAGGGACAACAACGGAAAGTTAGTTACTGTAGTTTGGCCCATTTACCATCGCCGTCTGCACTTACAGGTAGCAGTAATGGCTGTGACACACAGCACATAGAGGCAATTTAGGGACGTTAACACCCATAGCGGCCAAATACCACCATTTTTGTGTCAAAAATAGGCAAACTTAGTCAAATGTGACACAGATATTTTTAGATTCAGTGGGACTTACACTTCAGGAAGATGAACTCCAGTGTCCTTGAAAAAAATGTCCATAAATCCGCTTAGAAATCACAGAGACTGGAGAAATTAACCTAATATAACATGTTTTGAAGGTGGGGGAATCCGGAGCACCCGGAGGAAAACCCACGCAAACTCCACACAGAAAGGCCCCGCCCCATGAAACCCAAGACCTCCTCACTGTGAGACGACAGTGCTAACCGTTGATGCCAGTTCGCCAAAGTGTAAAGAAATATGGGTTAAAAATGACAGGGCACAAGTCAGTGCTAACTGAATCCATCCAGCAACATTGTACTTCCTGTTTACATCCCCCGAAACGTAGGCTTTGATTATCTGCCAAACAGAAGCCAGACAAAGCAAATCTGTTAAGCTATCCCTTATTGTATATCTACTATTTATTCTTATTCTCTCAGTACAAACTTTATTCATGCCGCACTATACACATACAGTATATATAATAGGTATGGGCGAAGTAATACCTGTGCTTTATTTTAAGGGTTGCCTCCCAGCATACTATATTTTGCATACACTCATTTGAATGTGTGCCACCAACCAAATGTTTCCCTCCTCTCCCAACAGCAATAGGAAATGCATATGCAGTGCTGAGCAATCCAGAGAAGAGGCAGCAGTATGATCAATACGGGGATCAATCCGCAGCTCCGAACGCACCCCAACACTCCACCCACAGTCGCCATGGATACTACCGAAACTTCCACAGAGACTTTGAGGCCGACATCTCTCCCGAGGAGCTCTTCAACATTTTCTTCGGAGGAAGATTTCCCACAGGTGAGCGGTTGTGTGTGAGCGTTTGGTTGGATGAAGAGCATCAGTAATGAGTGCAGTCGCATGAGCTCTGCAGACAGCATGTTAAAAGGAAGGGTTAGGAATAAGAAGACACTGCAAGGTCACCATTTCATTATAATGTATAAAGCAATTGTCGCAACCCAATTTGAAGTTTTCAAAGACAGCGGGCATGTTTTCTCAGTGAAAAATCATTTAATGGAAAGATGAATGAAAGCCCAGTGAGTCACAGATTAATAAATGTTTCAGTAAAATAGTGCAATCTGTTATTATTATTACTATTATTATTATTACGGTTGATCTGAGTATTGTTATTTAATGTTTGCGTTAGCTGTAGTTTAGTCATATTACCTACGGTCTTATTTTGGAAGTGCACATGCTATAGAACTGCGTGTGTCTCTGTACAGGAAACATCCACGTGTACACCAACCAGGGAGCCTCCTACTCTCAGTTCTATCAGCCTCGTCGTCGACGTGCTTATGAGAGGCGCGAGGAGGTGGTGGAGGACAACCAGAGTCAGGTCAGTGACTCATAAAACATAAAGACAATTCCGTGTTAAACAACCAGAGTGTTATAGTGTGACGTTATTGTGGCGATATGGCATTATTTTAATCATTAACATGCACTGGAGGGCCACGGTAAAATGAGTTTTTTGGGGATGCATTTTTAACATGGCTGGAGCACTGCAGTTTCCCCTAATGTTAGATTTCATGTACTTTGCCTTCATTGCTTAGGAAGCTCGTGGTTGGCTTCAAAGACACAAGAGTGTTGCTGGCATGAGTACAGTGTATCAGTGCAGCCTACATACAGTATTATATGCTTTGTAATCTGTGCTGATTTTATCTTCCCACAGAACACCTTCACAGCGTTACTGCAGCTTCTCCCTGTGCTGGTGCTAATCCTCATATCAGTGTTTACTCAGATGATGGCCACTAACCCGCCCTACAGTCTCTTCTATAAGCCGTGAGTCTGCCGTGCCATTAACCTTACCACAATGACATTTTAACAAATCCCCGGGTCCCACCGTGGTTGACACCGCTGTTTTGCTGAGTACTATTATGTGTTTGTGTTTCAGGGCCATGGGGCTGGTGGTGTCCAGAGAAACGCAGCACATGGGCGTGCCGTACTACGTGGATAAGAGTTTCGAGAAGGAATACCGCGGAGCTGCGCTGGACGAACTCGAGAAAACTATTGAGAGTGATTATATCGAACACCTGCAGAACAGCTGCTGGAAGGAGAAACAGCAAAGTACGCGAGCAGCTCATTTGGCTTAGACAGGAAGTTAGTTTAAGTTGTGGTGCAGGTATCACTGACTGATAAAGCTCAATCTAGATTTATATTAAATCTTTTATACTGTTTCTTGTGACATAAGCAGACCCTCAAATTCACATTGCATTCACTTGGTTTTAAAGGAATAGTGCAACATTTTAGGATCAATATGTTCTTGAATTTCCCTTGGGATAAATAAAGTATCTATCTATCTATCTATCTATCTATATCTATCTATCTAGATGATAAGATTAATACAACTCGTTCATATCTGCATGTTAAATATAAGGCTAGCAGGGAACAGTTACTTCCTGGAGTCTCCGCTGGTTGCACGGCAACTGGTCCTACTAGTCCTGCACATAACCGCCATAAAACAGTGAATTGGCGTTGCTGGGAGGCAGATTTTATAACCACTGGACAGAGCCAGGCTAGCTGTTTCCAGAAAGTCAATGTATTCATTCAAGTGTAAAAAGGAATCGTAAATAGTTGTGATACATTTTCTTTTATCCCTCTGTTCTCCTTTCCAGAGTCAGACTTGGCAAACCTCGGACAACTGTACCGAGATGAACGGTTAAAGCAGAAGGCAGAGTCAATGAGGCTGGACAACTGTGAGAAACTGCATCGATTGGTCGGGCGTCAGAGAGCCAAATGAGGACTGCTGCTCGAGAGGAGAACACAGTTTCTTTACAGACTTGTGTAATTTATCCAATCTGGCCACTTTGTAAAGAAATCTCTTGTAGGTACAGCGCAGTCAGTGGGAGAATGTGCCGCTGGAAACAATGTGCCTTCTCTCCTCTTTGATGGTAGAAAATAAGAGTTGCATGTTCGCTGCCAAACCCTGGCTGTTGTGGCAGCAGCATCGAGTGCAAACTTCACTGCGGCAGTGTGTAAGATGTCTCAGCCTTTAAACTTTCTTATAGAAATGGCATGACACATTGGGTCTCCCTTTGGGGTTACGAAGGCAGTCGTATGTTCACACATACACATTTTAGGTTTTGTAGGCTATCTGTATTTATTTTCTTCAATGTTTTTGTGCCCCCCCGCTGAAATTTTAGGTGTATTATTTAATAGTCAATAGAGTGAATGTTACTTCTTACTACATCTTCTTCTTACTACATCTTTTTTCTGTAGGAAGTTAAGTACAGTGACTTAAATAATACTGTAGTCTGTGGACAAATCTGAGAGCTTCTGTACTGTGAAATGACAGAGGACCTTTTATTTATTATTAAAACATAGAGAAATCAGACACTAGAAAGACTGTAACATCTATACTGTGGTTGATGAGGCAATTTGCCCTTTGGCCCTGTAGCAATAGAAGGCACAGTATAGTAACATTTTTGCAAAACACCACGTTTCTGATTAATGTGCTTATTCTAAAAAAAGGTTGTTCTTGCAAAAAAAAAACACCAGTCGTCTCCTACAGTAGAGCTTCCCTGTGCACTACTGCTTGCATAGGTGCATTGGTCAGGATCCAGTGTTTTAGCCGCAGGCATATTTTCGAGGTTTAAGAGTGAGAAATTACTGTTGTGTGTCCCAAAAAGAGGCTTAATGTTCTTAAGTAGTTTTGATTTGTCACAAACAGGGAGTCCACTCTAACCAAAAAAGCCCATTCACAGCCCTGTGTGTTCTGTATCTGCAAAGCTGTCGGGGGGAGGGGGGAGATCATTAAATGGCATGCAATACCTTCTAAACCTTCCTAAATCATGCACAAGCTTAAATCATTTTGTTCTCAAAAAAATGCTTTTCGGCCCATATTTTAAAACGGTTTTCATAAATCCTGCACCTTTTAATTAATACAGATGTTTTGTGTAGAAGCCACACTTTGATTTGAAAATGTCATCTTAATCAGAATTATCAATTTAAAACCGTGTTTCTATTAAACATCGCTGGACATGAACAACTTTGTCCCACAGCTAGGTACCAGGATTGTGACCCGTCAGGTCCTGTCATTAGTAGGACACTAACTTTGTGGAGGTATTAACTTTAATTCTTCATACCAACCCCAGATCATTCAAACCTTATACATACAATTGATACTTGTTGCTGTGCACTAAGACTGCCAAACTGCCTTAGCTGTTCTCATACTTGTGAAATATTCAGGTTCATCTCAAGCACTTTTAAGTTCATATTTAAACCCGTGTTCCTTATTGTTACTGTTGCATGCACCCTAGTGAGAGAGTGTTTTATTAGTTACATATAATTTATTTTGTGCAAACACATCTTCATGACTACTGACAAACTAAATTATTAGAATATCCAGGTCCACACTGTAACTCACAAACATGTCAAACCTTTACTGTGATACACAAAAATCAGGTTTTGGTATCAGTCAGTTTGGTAGTACACTTGAGCAACATGTTTTCAGCCAAAAATTAAAGATGTAATCAGAATATTTAGCCTGTGTGATTCGTTCTTTTGTGGTTTGAATGCCTTGTTTTATTTAGCGATTATTGTTCGATACCATCATTAGAAGACAACACTATCTTATCTAATCCTACTTGAGATATAAGGTTAGGTAGTCCATTTATTTAGACTTGAGATAGTAGCTTACTTTTCCTGTTTGACAACTAATATATGTTTACCTCTGTTGATGCCAATTGAGAGATGTCTAGATTTAAGAAAATAGAAAACAAGTTTGTTCATCCATTCACTTTGTCAGTCAGTGCAGCTGGTCATAATGAAAACATCTACACAATGTATTTGCACCAAGCAATAGTTGACAACAATGTGGCATTGGCTCTGGTCCAGTAAAAGCCATGAATATGTTTTATTGATCAGGCCAATTTACACAACACTGAACATGACTAAACAAAAGCCAAATGCAAAAAACCATCATCACTGGTCTTACACCAGAGTGAGAGCTTTGTGGAAGATGGTGTGTCCCATCGCTATGGAACGACGGATCAGAGGACAGTAACTTATTGCTCTTGTGATACTCTCAACAGCTTCGTGTCATGTGGCCACTGCTGCTTAAACCCAGTCCTGAGAAGCTCCATGCTTTTTCTTATCGACATACAGTTCAATAAACACCAGTGTCATGAATTAGGCAAAGCAGACTTTCATACTTTTTTAAAAGTATATGAAATGCCAGCTAATTAAATGTACCATAAGAAGATCAAGCCTTTCCTTGCGCACAACCCCTGCATGAACAGTTTTGATTGGACAGCTCTTTAACAGATTTAGATTTGAGAGGAGAAGGTAAGCAAATAACTGCCACAGTTTCTGCTCTGTTGTGTTTTGTGTTGGTATTGTGGAAATGTTTTGTGCACATTCAAGCTGAACATAGTGGGTTGAGGGCTCTTTCTGACATTTTATTGTTTAAACATTTTAAGTCCACAAAACAGTTCATTGACATGACGTTTGCTCAAAAATACTGAAAATGAGTATGCACGTAGGTTCTGTTTCACAATAAGTGTAGCGTAGATAAAATCAATCACAAACGATACAGCCATATTTAAAAGTGATCTCAAAGTTTTTAAAATTAGAAAAAAGAAAAGGAAAAAAAAACTCGACCGATTTCATACCAGCAATGACAATGTTGTTGAAATTAGTATGTGTACCCCTGATCATTCAGAAATTCTAGGTTAATCGGACTCTTTGGCCTCTGGTTTTACATATTGATCACCAACATGGTTTATTTCTTTAAATCAACCACACTAATCTGAGATTCAACCAGGTCCCCTGTAGGCTTAATTTCAGACCATTTGTAGGCTCGCAGTAACTTTTATCTTCATTTTTACAACCTGATGTAATTTAGAGCAGGATAAGTCTTACTGATCTGCAACTATGTCTGGGAAAGCTTTGACCTAGTCTTTCTGAATGCCCCATTGTAATCTGGGATTATACAGTATGTAATCCATGTCTGCATGGCTGTCTCAGAAGAAATAAGAGCTTCTCCACATCATAGTCTACCCATTTAATGTAGAGTGCAAGTGAAAGCTACACTGCACATTATGCAGGGTGAGACTCTGTGCAAACGACAGAGGATAAGTTCAGTCTTGTGGTATCACACCTTTCACTTCAACTCAGGGACACTGTCAGATCATTTTCATACTGCATGTTCATTTCTTCATCTTGAGGTCGGCTTCTATGGCACAACGGCGCCCTCTGGTGCCGCCATCCTAGAGTCAAAGAGAGGAAGAAACTATAAGGCCACGTTTAGTCTTCACTCAGTGTATGTGACTGAACTGACACTAATGTTCAAAGTCATGCTTCAAGATATTAAAGCCACTAAGACTTTTTTGATTTGTTAGAGTTCAGCTCTGAAAAAAAAAAGACAAGACAAAAAGGGAAAAGGAAAGTACTTACAAAAAGAGAAAGGAGGAAGGCAGGAGAGGACATGGAGACAGTGTCCTGTAAGAGGAAGATGATACATATCAGAGCTGCGACTCAAAAGAGCATTTAAAGTCTCAAGAGGAAGAGGAGAGAGACAAAATAAAGCCAAGAAAGACACAACACAAAGTATATTCAGCGCAACAAAATGAATGTCTGCTACATAAATTGGTGTATTGCCATGTGGCCATTTTTAAACTTTTACTCTTCACTTCCTCACTGCACTGCAATCACACTACGTATCCACTTCAGGCATTTTTTAAGGAACATGCCAGCATGTATAGCTCATTAACTACATACAACATATACTACAGACATATATTCTTGTCAACCATTTTTCAAAGCATAGCAGTTTTACAATCATCTGCTACCTTCCCGTCAACCACTGGTTTCAGTTAACATCAGTACACTGTGAAATATCAACACGCTTCAGGCAGGTAAATTGTCATCCAAATATTTAGGAGTGTGCTGTCGCTACTTCACCTGCTTACAAGGTGCTTCAGTAACAACTTGATACTAGCTGACTAACTGGAAAAACTCTCCTTTATTTCACCAACGTGTTTTGGCGCAGGGCCTTCATGAGGGTGGATTTACCGAACGTGTAAAAAATATCAAAACCTTTAGTTATCCTGATTTTGTTTAGTCAAAGTTACAAGGTGTGGTATCGTAATGTAGCTGTAATGTAGGTGTTGTCACATTGCTTATTTGTTTCTGTGTACATGTAGTGCAAATCTTCAACATCAACACTAGTAGTTCTTCACTCAGTCACATTAGCATGCAAAAATAAAGCATCTTTGACAAACCAAACAAACAGAAATGAACTGTGATCATCAGGCTAATAATATTTCCGTTCAATTTCATACTGTTTTTGAAATTAATGGAAAACAATAGCTTTCTTGAAGGTAGAATATCAATGTAAAAACTTACTAATGCTTTGTTAAATAGTTGTCAGTAATGTTCTTTACATTATTGCATTATTACATTCTTGCCTACCATCTTTCAAAGCATAACATATGATTTAAAATAAATCTTGCCTACTTGTCAACCATTAGTTTGAGATACATACAGTAATCTCCACAGTGAACAATGTATTAAATTTTTTGGGCATTATCTTTGTATAGTAATACAGTCAAAGATAATCCTCCATCCAAGATTAAAGTCAGCTAAAAAAAAAAAAAAGTATTGCATTCATGCACTGAAAACTCAGAGAATAAACGCAGAGATAAACAATAAATGAATATGTACATTGTGAAAAAAATAATTTGGTGGATTCTTGCATCAAAAAAGTTGACTTCTGACAAAAAGATTTTCATTGTGATGGATTACATGTCTCTGCAAGTTGATTTTGATAGCACATGAAACCAATGGCTACCTTAAAGATTATCAATCTAAAAATCAGTCATGCTTTGGAAAATGGCAGGCAGATCTACTTTCTTCTACCTTTAAGTCAGCCTGTTGTCTCACCCTTGTCTCTTCTTCTGTACTCTCTGCTTTTTTCAAAATTCTAGTGAAGCACCTTGTCAGTAGAGTCCTGTTTGCGTGTGCTCTCACGGCCCCTCAGGCTTTTGGCGCTGATACCAGACTCTGATGTCTCCATGATGAGCTGGGTAGCTAGAAACTGCTGGATCTGCTCCAGGACGTCACGCTGCATCTCCAGGGCCATGTGGTACACGTCATGATCCAGGCTGTTGTACATGACCGCATTCTGAAACATCAGCATGATGTCCCTCTGGAACTCAGCGGTGGTCCGTATCAAACCGGTCTCAATGTTCTTTTTTATGGTGGCCAGGTCCATTGGCCTGTAACGGTAAAGCGCAAAGAGGCGGTTAGTGTTGGCGAATGTCAATAATCCAATGTCATCCAGCAAAAACAAGGTTGTTTTTTCTTAGTGTCTGAAAAGTTAGACATTCTGCATGAGCAATATGACAAATAACCTCTACAATAACCTTTAGTGAAATGAAAAGAGATAAAATATGACCACAGCAAACATATGCTGTGCTTACCTGTGCACAATACTGTGGTACCCAGGTGCAATTTCATCTGTTACTGGCTGCAGGAAGACATTTGCATACCTACAAAACAAATCCCATAGATTTGTTTTTCGTGACGACACAAATAATTAAAAAAAGGAAATATATCAGAGCACCATATTCTGACCTGTGATTGGCCGCTGCACGCCACACCAGCATAATGGCTTTCTTCCAGATCTTGTGAGCTTGTAGAGCTTCCAGATCTTCACTGCACACAGAGCTGCACAATAATGGTATGTGAGAAGAAAGATGACATCAGAAGGCAAGTACTATCAAGCAGAACCTGGTCTGCAGCATGACAGCCATGACATTTATGTGGCTAATTGACAGTTTCTGCATGTGACTGAAAGCGTTTCACTCACAACTGCGATGAGGCAGGGCTGCTGGGGATGGAGTCTGCGGTCGTGTGAAGCTGCAGAGAAGAGGAAGCCGTGTGGAGGCTGTATCCGTCCTCGCTCTCGCTGGCCGCAGGTTCTAGCTCCATTTCCCCATCTGGCTCTGACAAGAATCCCTCACCCTCCTCTTCTCCACACACTTCTGGCCCGTTGACCTCATTGTGCACTTTAGTCCCTGAGGCATTCTGTCCTCGCCCAACACTTATTCCATCCTCAGCCTTTGTCCCCTGCAAAGATGGTGGAAAGATGCGGAGAGATTCAAACACAGCTCGTCGTGCAGGAATACTGTGGAGCTTTTTTCATTTCAGTACAGAAATTACAAGCATCATGTTCGCACTGTCCTCGTTGGGTGCTATACCTTGGGATGCCTTTCTGTCAGTGGGCTATCTTCTAACACTGAGTCTGCCAAGATAGTAAAGATGAATAATAAGAAGGAAATGGTTATGCAAAATGCATAGTTACATGCAAACTGCATGTTATGAAGCAAGTGAATACTAGTATTTATGCATGGGTGTGCATACCTCTGTGGGGTTTAACAGGTCTCTGCTGTGCCCGCTTCTCACTTTTTATGGTAACATCCAATGAAATTTGGCTTTTCTGGTGCACCGTCGCTCCCATTGCCTCAGGCTGTGGAGGCGCTCCAGTGCGGCAGTGCTCCAAACTCTTTGAGTTGCATGAGGATGAGGAGGTGGGAGGAAGGCCCCTCAGTCCCACGAATGCTGTGAGACAGTTCTCTTGACTGTTGCACATAGAGGAGAGTGAAGCTGAAGTCCCACTATGAAGTTCTAACACTTCTGTCTTCCCCTCCAGGCTACTGTGAAGAGACGAAGACTGTGGGACCCCTGTGGGCACTGCGGGGTGAGACTCGTGGGGCTGGAAAGGCCCAGCCTCCCAGGCACCAGACAAAGCATGGCCGTTCTCCTCACACAGTGACAGAGCAGCCTCAACTGCAGCTGCATCCAAAGCCTCTGCAGTCTCATCTGCCTGTAGAAGAAGAGATACGACTCTATTTCTTTTCATAGCTCGCCATAAATCTCAGCAGTGATGTTGGTGAGTAAACTAGATTAATGGCCAAACAAGAAAATACCCACATTTTAAAAGAACTTTCCTCACACAGGCATTATATATGCTTTAATTTATCCACAGTTGATCTCATTTGCTGCACAAATATAGAGACATTTTTGCAATTTTTGCACCTTGTCCTCAATGATGGCGATAATGTCCCCAACTGTCTTCAGATCCAGCTCATCTCCCATGTAGGACACAGTCACATCCTCCTCACTGAGCTCTGACACCTTATCCTCTGCAGAGACAGGCTCGCATCCAGGGGGCACAGACGGCACCATCACATCCATCTCTGCAAACAGACATTTCTTTTTCAAAATACAATTTTAAACTAGCAGTAGTAGCAGTATATATCGTATATATTTCTATACAGCATACTTAACTCAAGCTTAATCCTTAGCTTGTGTTTATATTTTAACCACTATCTTTGTAATACCTGTTACCTTAACATTTAACATTATATTACATCTTCGAAATTGCCAACAAAGTCTGAAATTCTCTTGCTACAAAACAGGTGACATCCAGGATGTGAGAACGTTTAGCCTGCGGATTCAGCACTGAGCGGTTTGGACACGGGTCAAAGTGGACGGACCTGTACTTGCTGAGGCAGCAGAGTCAACAGGAACGGGAGTGGCAGCAGAGAGAGGAGCACTGGAGGATGAGTCTGCACTGACCATGAAACCTAATGAGGCACAAAACTGGGTGGGACCCGCCTCCAGGAGACGAGACAACATCGGGGCACCTGCCATGCAAGACACACAAATTGCAGAGTGCAGACAAACAGCAGAGGCTTTCAGCTTGCCAATGTATGAGCAAACAACTGAGACAATAATAGCATTTTTGTAAAGAAAACATACATACATGTAGGATTCAAATACAAAGGAAACATAAAAGGTAGAATACTAATAAACAGAACAGTATTCAACCCTCTTAGACCTTTTTTTGCCAAATAGTGATTGGAATTAAATCCTATGCAATCAATTATTTTGTGAGGCGTTTGTTTTCACTTTGAAATATCAGTGTAAAGAAAACGAATGTACACACTGTAGACAAACCAATAAAACAATAAATACCCAAATGGGGTGAATACGTGATCACATATGAACACTGTATCTGTACCTGTAGCCTGAGAGAGAGGTTGACTAGGCGGAGCCAGCTGCAAGTCATGTGCTCCTGTCATATTACCAGTGGGCACGTCACCCTCCCCAATCTGAGATATAAACGAATACATGCATGTCAAACCTTTTACATGTAATTTGTCTGTTTTCCTCTACATGAAGTGCACATCAAGTATCATTCACCTCCCAGCTTGTATTAAACATAACTGCTGATTCACACATAAAAATCCATTATGTAAAAGTGAATGTCATGTAAAGTATAATTTTTAGAAATAACACAAATCATAATGAGTACAATCCCTGTGTGTATGTTTTTACATATTTCACATTATAGATTTTAGCTTACAGCCTACAGGTAGCACTGAATGTCAAAGCAGAAACATTACCAGAGGAATGTGAGGAGCAAAAGATCTAGTAAAGGACAAACTTATTCTGACATGTTGGGATTTCACCAAACAAGTCAGACAATTCCAGGAGTCAAGTGTCCAGCAACCATTCAAGAAGAAACCTCAGTCAGGGACACAATGAATGACAGCTGCTTGGCTGCAATGGGAAATCATGCCATACAGGAACCACTGATGACATATGACAAAAAGCTTAGAGGTAAAAAAAAAAACAACTGCCACCTGCAGATTGCAGAGAGAAGCCTGAGAAACTAAGAGGCAAAACATTTAGTGGTGCAACTCTATATGTTAACTATAATGTAGAGTTATGAACTGTAACACAAACCAACACAATTATAGTCTTAAAGTCATAAAAAACAAACAAATTCAAAATAGATTAAGTGATGTGTTAACTGTTAAATGACACATTTTTATTTCTTCAAGTCAACTTATTTCAAGAAGTCAAAATGTTTTCCTGACTGGATGTACTGTTTCAGTGGTACAGCCCTTTAAGACTTTTAAGGGTAGAAAGAAAAATCATGTTTCCAAAAACAGGAAGTATAGACTTCATAGTGCATATTCACCCATATAGAAGCAATGACAGGACAATAACCAAGCATAATCTGAACACTGAAATGGTTTCATACAGGAACATGAATGACCTTGTGTGGCACAGCCTGAGACAACACCTGAAACCCATTCAAAATGGAGTGGAATAGACTGAAGACAGTTGTTCACACATGCATATTATCCAACATTAGAAAAGCTTTAGCAAATCTACTGAGAGAAAAACACTGAGATGTCCTGAGGTGAAAACAGACTGGACGTTACAAATCCAATGGCATTTCTGTAGTCATGATTAAATACATTTGCAAAAATTACTAAAATCTTTGTACAATGGGCAAAAACAACCACAGCTACCAAAACCACACAACAGAATGGAAGACAAAATGATCAAATACTTCCTAAATGCACAGTAACTCTACAAATGATGAGATGAAGATGGGATCACCTGCAGACTCAGACATATTAATTACAGAGCTTGGCACTGTCGGCATAATACAATAAGTCCCCTCCACATACCAGTCTGGAATTTGTGGCCAAGATACTGCCTTTCTTCAGTAACTCTGACAGGAGTGGAGATGGTGGTGGTGTGGCTTTCTGGCCCTGGAGCTTCTTTTGGGTGGGGTCATCCAGAAGTGACCCGTGGCTGACGTCAGGTCCAGAAGACTCAGAAATTGTCATTAATCTGGCTGATCCCGAAGCCTGGAAACAGAGAGAGGGGGACATGAAGTCACACTGCCATACCAATCCAGGAATGCTTTCAATTATGAACTCTCTAACGTGTCTCTAATGTGTTCCTTGGCATTGCTAAGAATATTAGCCCCCTTTCCAAAAGATAATTAATAAAGCCATAAATTCTGTTTTTAAGCGCCTTAGTTACTTTTAGCAGCTAAAATTTTATACAAAGGATATTTTAAGTGTTTTGTATAACAGTGTGCCATAGCTGTAGCACAAGGTTTCTGGTCTTTACAATAACACGGAAATGGCAAATCACATTAGCAAATCTAAACACGTGGCACACAAGACCCAGCTCAAAGAGGAAAACTGACTGGTCTGCAGGAATCTTGAGAGAAACACAGATTATTCACACATGTTACACCAGCAAACAGTTTTAAAAGTCCCAAGAGGAGTTACGATTGCTGAAAAGTAAGGCAGACCTTAAATACCTTTGAAACTTCAGTGACTTACATTCTTTGTCGATGCGAGATCCAGTGTCAAGCACTCAAGTGGGTCACTTGGTGAGAACTCCTGGCTTGGGGAGCTACAGCCTGAGGGCGAATGCATGGTGATGCCAGGCACTCGCTTTGGCGTGTTCTTTGCCACCTGTCTGGCTGGAAGAGGGAGGGGCAGCATAGAGAGGATTTTCCTATCAGTCACACAAAAGCATGCCATGATTAAGCCATGTTGGCAGCGTGGCTCTACAGCAATTGGTCCAAAAATTGAGTCAGACATCATGACAACTATTGGACAGATTGCTACGAAATGTTGGTACGAATATTCATAGTCCAATCCACAGACTTTCTAGCTCCACCAACGGGTTGAATCTCGAGCCACTGTACAGAGAACGTACCATTTTGATTTAGGTGGTGCTGATTTAGAAGGGAACGAGCAACTCTACAGTAATACAGTCAAAGCAGCTTCACTATACAGTGCTATACATCTATCCACCACCTCTAAAAGCTGTTACACTTTCAGCTGACGTTGAATAATGGATAATGTCGACTGCAAATGGGCCAAGAGAGTGTAGATGGAACAGCTGAGGATGTTTCAACTGAACAATTTCACTTCGTTTTTTCCACAGGTAAAGACACTATTTATAGATCATCAATTGGATTACTGAAACGTAATTCTATATCGATGTCCCCCACCCAAAATCCCCCTTAAAAGTGAAGGAGATACCCTGATAAGCAGCATCTGTGTTTTTTCTTTTTATCTCTGCTTCCTCTTCCTCCAGTTTCTTCTTCCTGAAAGATAAACATAAAAGCATTTATTTAAAAGATATAAGAGATAAGATATAAAAAGAGATGTACTGTATCATTGTATAAACACGTCAGATAGACAGTTTGTTGCTTCTTACTGCAGGATTTCTTCCCATAACTCCTCTAGTTTGGAATCTAGATGTCCTGCTTGGATGAGTTCGGCCTCTCTCTTCAGCTTCCTATGAAAACAGCACCAAGTCAACCAGTCTCATCCACGCAGTTAGATGCAACTACTTTGTTTTGTCCGTGCTGTTAAACGCGATGCTTGTGTACCTGTGCTTTTCCTGTGTTTCTATAATCAGCTTTTTGAGTTCATCGATCCTGTCAGCTGTCAGCCTGCGTACTATCACATCCTCCACCGTCTCCACCACTTCACCTTTCTCGCCACGTTTCCGCCTGAAGGCAACAAATGCATTATTAGTGTAAGACGTGGTTTTTCTGGCATATGCTGACAATGCATTTATTTTGGCTTGTAAATCTACGAAAGCTTGCTCGAGATAAAAAGTCACTCATGCGCTCACTTTGGGGCCTCGGTTGTTTCCAGGAGCTCAGAGTACTTGGATGCACAGTGCTGTGAAGAGCCAAAGGCAAGTGAAGAACAGCTTTGTCACGGGACACAATATAATGGGGCAAACCTGCTGCAGAGGTCATACATTTGGTCTACGTATTCTGCTGTCGAGGGAGTTCGGGTTTTGTCGTACCTTTTGAGAGAACCAGTCAGGTGGTCGCCCAGATTCTGCAAACGGTTTGAGGGCTCGACTGACAGATACCCTGTTGAGATGATGTAAAGCAATCCAAGATGAAATACACTTTAAAGCCCATTGCAGCCCACTATTTACAGTAGGTCCTGGTTACATTAAAACCATAAAAATAATTTCTTAGTCAAATTTCTTCTAATCTGTTTTGTCCATTTGTTTGTTATTATTTTTTTTTTTTGGAAGTCTTTTAGTTGTAAATCCATGCAAAATGTATGCAAAATTAAAGCGAGCCTGCACGGTGCAACATCATAGAGAGTACGCCAGTCCATCAACAGACAACCACATGCCTACCTGTGGTTAATTTATTGTATTTGCGTGTCATTGTGACAGCAACCACCGTTTCAAGCACACATAAATACAACAACCCCAACAATAGAGCCACCTTTATTGAGTCTATCTACTCTTAAAAGGTAAACTTGTGTGTAAAAAAAACCTCTGATCAGTTTAACATATTGACACAAACTACAAATGACTGCGTATGAATATATCACAGACTATGACACATAAAAATTGGTCACACAATAAAGAATCACATCACCAGCTTTAGAGTAAAGTGGCAAAAATAGAACAGTAGCACAGCACCAGTTCTGGTCTCCACTCTTCATGACAGATGTGGCCAAACACAGCTTTTCCCTCACTGACCATGGCTCTGTTGGTCCAATGACAAGCAGCTTGTGCTCTGTAGATGAGGGGAGGGATAGACAAAACATAAAGCATGCATTATTTAGTTTAACAACGACCATGTTCAACTGATCGCCTGCTGTCTTTCTGAGGCCTGGTACGGACAGAATTGTTAAATCTCTTGAGCTTTAATTTTTGTCTGCAGCCCCAAAGCTGCCCAACCACGCCAGCAGCTCACTGTGGACACATACTGTCCACTTCAACTGATCGCAATCATTAAAAAAAAAAACAAAAAAAAAACAAAAAGGCACGTCGTTTATACAGGTGGCGGTAACTGGAACCACCACCAAGTGCAAACAGAGCTGTCAACTCGCGATGACAGCCATTAATCGTTGCAGGCTCCCCTGCAGGGAGCGGAGGCTGCCATGCAGGAAGTTAGTGATAACATCAACAGTACCGACGCCGCTAACAGATAGCATGCCCTGACATTTGCTAGGTACCCGCGTTACTCACTTCCAACCCCGTTTGCCATCTTCCTGTCATCCCGACATCCCATACATCTTGGAGGATGGAAACCAGGCAGTTAATAATAACACTGGGGCGACCCGAAAGCGACACACATGAAGTGACGGACGTTAACATCAATGAATGTGTCGTTGTGGGTGTTGAGGCTTTCGGGGTCTTTTCTTTGTATCTCGCTGAATCACGGTTGTCCGTGTAAGTCTCCTGGGTCGGAGCTATTGGTAACTTAAAGATTAACTAGCTAGCTCAGATGCTACGCCAAGGGCTTTTCTCTATAAAGACTCGCTTACGGTTTTGATTTCGCCCGTAACTTCAACAGAGTCTACGCCGTGGACATGTAATACACATGTGTATTATATGTCTATGGCTCACACTAGCAAGTAGCAGTCCGACGACGGCATTAATCTTACAGTGGTCACTAACGTTATTGATCATTGTAGCTAGCAGCGAACTGTTGGTACACGCCCATCAGTAGCTCAATGATGGTACAACCCTGGATGCTGTTGAAGAGTCTTAACTTGGTCAACTCGACTGTTGTTTTTGGATTTTTTTTTTTTTTAGTTTTAACTATATTAAGACGCTCATTTTGTTTTGGCTGTAGAAAAACAACAATATGTGTAATAATACATGTATAAATGTTAAATCAACAGCCCTTTTGTTTTTTTGAACCCCAGATGCTCAATTGTATGGAAGGTATTTTGTGCCACCTTATGTGGTTGGGCTAAAATGTATTAACACCTTAAATAGTTATGTTTAACTATATTTTAGTTTATACTGCTGTTTATAATTTTTACATTGGAAAAACACAGGTACAGGTAGCCTATTATAAATCCACTATAGCCAATTACATGTAGGCTACATTATATGGAAGATTTAAAATGCACGTTTTTACTTTTATATTTAACTTTTTGTGATTAGACTTTTCCCGCAACACATTCAAGGTCTTTTTTCTTTTATAACGTTACCAATGAGTTTACACTTTCAGCAGCAAGAGGTACAGACTAGAAAAACTGGTTTGACGACCAGTATAACAAGGCAAAATAAACAACCAGGCCCCATATATTAAAGATACCTGAGTACTACGTGCTGCCTTGCACAAAATCAGAATCAGAGTCAAGTTTATTGTCAAGTAGGTTTTCACATACAAGGAATTTGCCTTGGTAAGTTGGTGCATAACTATTAAACATATAAACATATAAAGAAAGATAAAAATAGAGAGAGTAAAAGGAGACAATATGTACAAATATGAAATATGCAATCTGGTCGGATACTAAATGAGTGAAGAGCTGATATTTGCAATATGCAAAGATAAAATCAGAGGAAGGAGCATTAATGTTACACATAGCTTCAGGGTGGGTGGTGGGTTTAAAAGTAAAAAATGTCTAGTTGTCACCTTTACAGTTTTATGAAACTGGAACACATGATTTAAAAATGTTTTAAGGTTATTTTTACTGTACCATAACATGTTGCAAAAATGTTGTGGTTGTTTCATTTGGCCACCTGCTGCATGTTGCTGGATCTCCTTTTTATAAACAGCTGCTGTAGCCAGAAGTCTAAACAAGTATTTAATTGCCCCTCAAATTATGAACAGATCATTTACATTAATAAGCTGCTTACACCAGAGTATTTCTTTTTCCAGCCACATTGACACTAATGTAACTTACAAATCAAGTGAAAATAAAAGCTATGATGTAAAAATGTTTTCTGTAGAGCATGACCAATCTCATGTATCTCTTATGTATCTATTATCTGTGATCTGAGAGAGTCACAAAAATCAACAAGCAGACAACAGAAGATAGACCACAACTCACAACATAATCATTCAAATATGTACAACATATTTGAGACAGGCTCCTTGTGTTTAGTTAGCTGAGCTGAGTAATGTTGGTTAAAATATGTTTGTCAATTGATGTATACTCTTTTAAACTCTAAAGAGAGGAATTAAAGTATAGCCAAAGACAGATGTTGTAAATGTTCCTATTCCTCTCATTCTCGTACTATACATGCCCATTTTCACTTTCCACTTGACTTAATTGTTATTTTAATCCTCTAGTGTCATGCTTTTGGCTTCAAACGTCTTTCTCTGAGCCATTACCGTGTCATAAATGGACAATAGGAGACATGCTGGTTGGCTGCTGGATGAATGATTAGAGTTTACATTTGTTAAGCGTAGACAACAATATTAAGTCCTTACTAGGACCACAAAGTCTGAACGTTCCCCCCTTAAATTATGCAACACAACACTGGGCAAATTATATTTTTGGGCCCATGGTGACAGAGGTTGGTTAGGTGAAGCGGCAGCTCTTTTTACTCATATGGTCCCGCATCTTCCACAGGAGAGGCCAATTACTACAGGGAAACAAATGTTAATGAGGCACTTGACATTTAACTCCATAACAGTGCCACTTTGCCTCCTGCTGCTGTGTGGAATAACTGTCAGCTCTACAGGAGAGACTGGCAGAAATGTAGAGGATGCTACAACATGAGACAAATAATTCTGTTATCTGAGAAATCCCACACCTTGACAAACACTTACCTTTCACACTTATTGGATACACTACATGTTATCCAGTGTTCTTGCGTATTTGTTGGAGGAAAGAATTGGGCTCTTATTTGTTTGGAGCTTGATAAGATCCTCTTGAAACAAGTAATGCAGCCTTTAACATATTACTTGTGAACCATTTAGAGTCATTGCTTACTGTTAAACTGTAAATCTGCATTATGCTCCATGTAACTTTGTCACATAACACTCAAAGGTTACACGTGTCCTCCAACTAAGATCATGAAAGAAAAGAATTAGAACCCAAGATTATTGTTTCCTCCTGTGTTGGAGTTGCTGATTTGCAACATGTGTCTGATTCTTTGTACAGACTTAGCTTATTAAACTTCCACTGTAACTGTTCAAAAACCTGCTGAAGGCAAAATAATCTGTTACACTGTAAATATTATTTTGAATTCTAACATTCATTTACACCACATAATAATATGTGTTATTACTGATTATTCAATATTTAGTGATCCTGTCCTAAAACAAGACCAAAGTGCCTAAAATTAATTCACTTGGTAAATATATATGCAAGTATTAAAGGTTTAATATTTGTTTAAGAATGAATTACAAACAGGAAAATTAATTAAAGTCATGGAAAACAACTTTGCCTATTCTCCTGAGAGCTTCCTCATTATAGTCTAATGTCTTTTCATGTTGCTGTCAGGTGTTATGAGTAAACAGCTTTCCTTTTCGTGTCTTTATATTAAATACACTATTAACTATTTAAATCTAATTCCTATTGAAAAAACTTTGTTTAATGTTCCATCTCGGCGCTCCTGCATCATCTCAGGTAAGCGAGTGATGGAGACTTAAGTGATGAAGGTCACGCCACATGTTGCCTTTAACTGCGGCACTGAGCCCATCCTGGGGGCAGAACCACAGCTTATTATCTGAAGGAGGGAACCTATTGAAGCCTTCCTCCTCATCTTTGCCATTAATCTCACTTCATTTGTTACTGTAAGTTGGTGCAGAGGACCCTGTGGAAGACAAGCGGACTTTCATTCTAGGAGCCCGTTTGCTGTTGGTCTTGTGGTGAGTGATGTTGTGAATTAGTTACGATGAACCTTGAGAAACTATACAATTTATTTAATTTTGTACAGATTCATGGAAACAGCTTATATCAGACCACATAACTTTACATATCTTTGCATGCGTGCTTAGTATGAATCATATTGATAAATGTAGAAATTATTTGTAAACTGACAAATTAATTTTACACAGATACTGACAAAATAAAGAGTGTATTTTGTTGTTGACTAATGATGCTTTTCTGCTCTAAGAGGTCCAACGAGATTGATCTCTTGCATTAGTCTATGCAGCTGAGCAACATAATACAACAACAGTGGGGACATTAATAGCGTTAAATATCTACATCTGCAGTTTTGTACACACATATTCTAAAAGAGCAACATGTTAATGTTAGGTGTATTTACATTCTCAGCCAGCGGATGTCCTCCCCTGGGGAAACTGCGCTGCCTCCCCTCCCTGGCCCTTACTCCTTTGGGACCCTCCCTGTGCCACTTGCAGCTGAGACCCAGGGAGCAGAATTAACGAGCAAATTGAAACAGACTCTAACCATGGCACAGACACCTCCAGTGAACTATTGTGCAGTGTGTTTGCTGTGTGCGCTCTTTAGAAATTTAACCGTGTTCGTGATTTCTCTTCCACTTCAGCATAGCATACTGATATTTCTACTCTGATAACATTTGATGTTTTGCTGCAGGCTGGCTGACTTTAGCAGGAAAGGCGCAGGATGTCCAACAACATGGCCAAGATTGCAGATGCTCGAAAGACGGTAGAACAATTGAAACTGGAGGTCAACATCGAGAGAATGATGGTAAGTCAGCACATTATGTAACGGATGATACCGGAAGGGTTTAGCAATTACTTTAGACTGTTAAGTGTGGAAACATTTCTTGCGTACAGTTTTTTTTTATCAATATGACCCTTCTAATTAAATAAAATGTACTGCTTCTCCATATAAATTTGACTTTTCATTGATACTGGAAAAAAGGTGTTATTTGGGATCTAGAGAAATATTCATGGATTAGCAAGATTAATCACATTTATCATTATTTGCTTGGAAAGTCCCTCAACTAAAGATATTTTAACTCAAATATAGTACATTATTGTGGCACGTTAGCAAAGCAATTAATAGAAATATCTAAAAGTGGCATTAGAAATCAATAAACTGTTTTGTTTCCAAATCCTTTTTCCAAATGTATTTTTTAATTGAACCTAAACCTCTCACTTAGTCTAAAATGTGGCCATAGCATAGAATAGAATAGACTGAATTTAAAATGTTTTGCTATCTTTACCTCCCCTGTTTGACACAAACACACACATGCACACAGACACACACTAACACCACCTCTCTGTGCAGGTATCCAAAGCAGCAGCTGAACTGATGGCCTACTGTGAAAGTCATGCCAAGGAAGACCCTCTAGTGACACCAGTACCCTCTTCTGAGAACCCGTTTCGAGAGAAGAAGTTATTCTGTGTAATACTATAACCCCCTGCATGTACAAGACAAATGTCTACGCAATTCAGTGTCAGATTTAATGACAAACAAAAAACAAAAACAAAAGAAAACTCTATTGCTTTTTTTTTTTTTTTTACAACATTCAGTTTTGTAATTAAACTTTCTTTTTGGTGACTAACTTTACCTGATGAACGCTCATCATTTGAACGCGGTGATAACAGCAATAAAGATTTCTTGTAAATGGGTGCAAAGTTCATTTAAAGTAAATACTGCTTCCTCACCTTGTGCACACAGTTTCTAGTTTATATATTAACTCAGTTGTAGTGAAGTTCTCACAAAATGTCTTCATATCTTACATTTTGGCTTTTTTTATTAAACTTATGGGAAGAAAGGGCAAAGTAAATTGAATTTGTTGTAACATATTTTCACTGCAAGAAAAAAAAAACTCAAGGTGACAAGGACTAAAATACCTGACTAAACTGAATAAAGTGTATTATTATAAACAATAAGATCTTTAGTCAGGTATTGTTTTTCTGCCTGAATGTCTCCAAGGAGGATGTCCCTTGGTCACAGAAACCAATGCAAATGATGGGCGGGACTATGAGATGATGTCAATACAGGTTGGAAGTGCAGACAACAGGTGTGTACAGACCAGCCTGCTCTCACTCTGAAAGCTGCCAACATTGACAGTGTAGTAGGAAAATATAGACTGCAATGGAAATGTACTAGTGTTGAGTAACGGTAGTCCTCAGTTTGAATGTGCAACTGAACTCTTATATTGCTTCAGTACTTCAAGGACGCAAGTTGTATCATAAGGAAGACGGTGTGTGTATTTGTGTGGCAAGAGTGAATAAGAAGCACCTATTTGGTGAAACTGCACTGAAGAAGAAGTGGCCTGATGTAGTTTCCGAAGAAAGAGACACGCTCTGGTTTGTGAGTCTGTTATCAGAGAAATTTCCATCAGACAAATTCCCCACAATTTTCTGAGCCTTTGGGAATTAGCAGCAGAGAATAAGGTATGTACATTTTATTATCCACCTAGGGGTGCAAACTCCATCTGCCTACAGGCCTGTGCCTCCTAATGAATTTATGTGAAAATGTGTGAGATTGTGTTAAAGTGTGAAATGTGTAGAACCATAGATGTAAGGTATTAGCAAGTGAAACAGGGCTAGTCAGGAAAAACTTGTCAGACTGAACATGCAGATCTTGAACACACCCGTGCCTTGTGTCCACTGATACTTAGGATGCCTAGAGGAAGTTTCAACAGTCAACTTCAGAAGCCACCAACAAGAAAAAACTGGCTAATTTCTAATTCACATAGTGGCAATATTGCATTGAAAGGACGTTTCTCAGCTTTTCATATGATCAATATTATATCATCAGTAACACTGTTAAAACTGAGTTTGCTTGAGTGCTTTTCATTTGGCTGACTTTGCCAAACAGCTGTGTTTGATTTGAATTTCATTTTTGCAAGTCAGATGAGCAGCTCATGTCTGGATCAAAGGGCTTAGTCCACAACCCTGCACTGCTGCAATAAAATACAGTATCAAGTAATAAATGTTTTGTTTGTATGGAAGATCTTTGCTGACACTTAAGTGAGATTAACATGATTAATAACATGAAACTTACTGGTGATTAAACTGATGTTTTAAAATGACCTCACTCAGTGAAGTTTCTCATTGTAGAATATTTTCAGCCTTTTTGTCAATGTTTTTCATAATTAGGTGAGCTTACACTATAGTTATAAATTGGTTATGTAACTATATAACCGTACTTGACTTAGCAGTGACCTTCATATGGAAGTAATCTGCCATCCTATTGCCTGTAATCGTCTCATGGCTCCAAACACCATAAAACAAAGCTACGTGCTAGTACTTGAACTTTGAAGTTGTGTCTTCTTACATTCAAAGAACACTGAGCTAAAATGATAAACACTGTGTTTCTCTCAAATGTATATTACCGATTACTGAGGTATATTTCTTTCTGTTTTCAGAGCCAACGATGGCTAACTTTGGAGGACACGCCATTCCTGGCACTTTTTTCCTGTTCTATGGCTTTTGGCTAACAGTGAAATACGTTCTCCAACACTACTGGAGGATAAATCAGCCTAAAGGAAGACAGATTATGCCTCCTTTCTTTAAAAAAATGGAATACATTGAGGGAGGATTTACCATCTTTGCTTCATTTGTTGGTGAGTTTTCAACACTTAAACTCTCTAAAGCCTGTTCTCGACTCATCTAATTTGGTCTGATGTCGTCCCATACCAGGTATGATGGTTGAACAGTTTGTGGTGGATGGGCCACATGCCCACCTCTATGACAGACACAACAATTCATGGGTCAAGCTGATGAACTGGCAGCACAGCACCATGTATCTGTTCTTTGGGATCTATGGAATAGCACTGGTTGCCAGTAATGCATCCAAACTGGTGCCGACTGGTGTCGACCGCCTTGCTCTGTCCTTGGCCCTTTTTGTTGAAGGTAAGCTGTAAGGAGGATAGGCGTTGGTAATACATTTTTCGTTCACATCATATATGTCCCTCTGACGTTATGTTTGACTCTCCCATATCATCCAGGGTTTCTGTTCTATTACCACGTGCACAGTCGGCCCCCTCTGGATGCTCACATCCACTCCCTGCTGCTAGTGGCTGTATTTAGTGGATCGGCCGGTACCGTGTTGGAGGTGTTCCTAAGAGACAACATTATTTTGGAGGTCTTCAGAGGATGCATGTTCATCCTGCAGGGCTCGTGGTTCTACCAGGTGATTATGAAAAATTTGTCATTAAGAATGCAGTTATGTGTTACATGTGTTTTGTGGAACATGGTATAAATGTGCCAATAAGCATTTCTTACCACACAGTATCAACATATAAAACATACAGTTTTTGACAGCTTGATTCAGTAGATTTAATTCATTTCTTGCTTTTGAGAAAATCAGTTTAATCTTGGCCTCTTTTAAATAGACTGCTCTTTTCCAAACAGTGTCTGTTTTTGTGAACACATATATTTAACAGAATCACAAGCAGTTGACTCTTTCATCATACTTTTTGTCATTTCAGATTGGATTTGTACTTTACCCATTAAGTGGATCAATGTGGGACTTATACCTGCATGCCAACATCATGTTCGTCACTATGTGCTTCTGCTGGCATTTAGCTGTGGCCCTGCTTTTAGTTGCCTGCACCTCTTCTGTGGTTTGGTTGTAAGTATCCAATACTTCACCTATACATGTTTTAGAACTAAAATCAATCGTTAGTGAATGTGCCATATCTATAGGTTTATGCAGAACAGAGTCCACAAGGGAGTAAATTCAGTTTATTTATGCTCATATGGTACGTTATCCACATCTTCATGACAGGAGCAGTAAACTGATGTGAACCTGTCACAGGACATTGTGAGAAATGAGAAACAGTCGACTATTTCAGTACATTTTGCCCTGCATGTTGTGTGCTTAAAAAAGAGAAAATGATGCGTGACCACAACATATTTTGTTAAGTTCACTTCAGTTTTCAGAATAACATGGTGACTGCACGGTGTTCGTTTTATGGGGAGGTTTCAAGGACAAGTAAACAATAGCATGTTAAAGCACTACTGGAATGCAGAAATAATAAGAGCTTGTCTGTCTTGTGGCAAAGCAGAGACAAAATGGCAAAATGGGCTTTACTGGTTGCCTCAATAATAAGTTTCTTAAAGTCCTTTAGGGTGCTACCAGCCAGGAGCATAAGCCCATTGAATTCACAGAGGGCGAGCTCTTAAGACTGTTGCTAGTCATTTGCATTTCAAGCTAATCTATGAGTGCTTGCTCTGTATGTGCTATATTAGCCTCCTTACCTGTGCAAGAAAGTTTATCAATCAAATGTAATAATGTTAACATTTAAAAAGGAGCATGTAACACAAAAATGAACAAATAGACAAATCTATAATGTCTACTTCTCAAAACATTTGGGAACCTTTGGTCTAGGCTACAAGCGCTTTCCTGCATTCCTTATTTAAATATATTTTTTAGGCTTTTATGCCTTTAATGGATAGTGGGGAAATAGAGAGGGGATGACCTGCAGCAAAGGGCCACAGGACTTAGCCTTAGTACATGAGGCACGAGTTCAACCAGGTGAGCTATCGGGATGTCCTGTCCTGCATTCTTGTGCTGTATATCAAGATAGTTACGATTAAGAGACTGGGTCAAATAATGATTGTAAGAAACTTATAAGAATCTATAGCTGGAGTTTTAGTCTGCTCTCTGAACCTGATACCCGGTGAAGTTTTTATATGCAACATGGTTTTGTTCACATTGAACATTCAATATACACTGTGTGCTTAAGGCCCATTAAACATATTGTGTTTAAAATGTTAACTAGGCCTTACAGTTATTTGCCAAGGTCTTGTTTTGAAGCCTGTATTGTTTCCATCAGGTTGCTATCCTCATTTGTGTTGGTGCGTTACTAGTCAGCAGAAATGTGTATCACATTACCCAGATAATTGTTTGTGCCTCCTCATGCACATGCTGGTAGGACAAGAAATGCTCACGTATGACTAAAAACTGCTTTGCAGCACTAATTGTGAAATGGTCCCAACTGAGGACTGGAAATTTCCCCGTAAGATACTGCTTGTAGGAACGTTTATGCCACGAACGTTACAACATGATTAGTTCATTTTGAGGAGGCTGGGACAGTTCTTGCATGAATGTATAATCGTTATGTTGTTCACATGCCTTCTAAAGCTTTTCTTCTTCTTCCAATAGCACAGTGAAGCGATTCTCAGCAAGGGGACGGGACATCGAGATTGGAATGCGAAATACATCCTCCAAAACAAACTCCCAGAAAGCTTTACTTGAAGAGTCAGATGAAGAGTGAATTGTTGTCTTCTCTCTGAAATTTCATTTAAATTTGATTTCATTCTCTGTGTTGAGGTGTTTGTAAGACCAATTCTGCTATTTTGCACACTGTACGTTTTTGTAAAAAATAAATGAATTAAAAAATTAAACACAATCTGTTAAAGTATATTCTGTTATTATGGTCTGTTAAAACTTACATACATTCTAACCTAAAATGTATGGCTCCAGTGTGTGGCCTACTATTAAATAAAATCGAACACCCGATAAGAGAACAAATAATATATTAAAACAAAAATCAACAAGTCACAACATTGAAATACATCAGACAGACTTAAGTCCCACGCACTTCACATTTTCTAATATTACATCCAACATTTAAAGAAGTCACACGGAGAACATCCTATTTGCGGTCATATAGAAATTTGAAATCGTAGGTTAATATGAATTGACAAGTTGTGATTTTCAGTTATATTTACGTTAAATATAAACGCAGCAGCGCAACAGTCTTTTCAAAGTCTGTCAACCACTGAAAGAAAAAGTAAAGCATCATTTCTATGGTAAGACTGCAGCCTGCCTGAATAGAGTTGTAGTTGTCAACAGCCTGGTGAGCTGCTTTACATTATATTATTCTAATGATTATTATAACAATGTGGAAAATAAAATTCATGAGAAATGTAGTTGAGGAATAATTAATTGATACTGGTAACTTAGCACAAATCCAAACCCTTTAACAGACAGACAAAAGTAAATCTGAACACATTTTTCTGGCTTTTGTAAATATCATCCAAATTGAAAAGAAATGAAGGCATAATACACATGGTAATGACAATTACCTCACTTGCGAAAGTAAAACATGTCAAATGACCCTGAAAAAGCTTGATAACAAACTCCAACAACCAAATACAGGCATGTATATTGTGCACTGGACCTACGATTCACTGCTGGCTGATGACAAAGGATCACTGTTGAGGTGCGGGTGGAGGATCGGGTGTACATTTGGGCGAAGGTGCTGTTGTGACTACAACTGTGGAGACAGATTTTGGGGAGCCTGTGGCTATGTGCTGCTGGAGCTGCTGCGCCTGAACCGTCTGGATGCGAACCTAGAGAAGATTAAAGCCGTCAAATAACATCAGCGATTTTTTTGTAGGTTTTGATGGCTAATTACAGTCGTTATTACACATCTCATATGATCACAAAATGAAGAAGGTGATTTATTTCATTAGTTCCCAAAGGGGAAATTCTTTTTTTCACTACAATTTTTACACCCATAGGCCTAAAATACAATCACTGCCATGCTGTGATGTGCTGCCATGTAGGAGTGTTGGCCACCTTCCAGTTACCAAGCCATGTCCCTATGGACTGAGCTACTGAATGATGATGCTACTACATGAAAACTTAGTTGGATTGAACAGCTGTTTCCTAAATTATTATGTCTCATTTGTGACACATAAAAGCCTGTTAACCTGTGTGGCTTGTCCTTGCTGCTGAAGCTGCTGGAACTGCTGTGCTGTTACAAAGCTGACTGGTTTGTTCCCAGCGATCAGCTTTGTGCCAGCAGGCATGGTGGTCAGGATGATGTTCCTTCCAAGACTGCTGAGGCTGCTCAGAAAAGAGAGGAAAAGGACAGAGAGATGTCAATCTAGCAACCCTGTTAAAAACAAAATGGAGCTGTTCTGACACCGATACCATTATCTGGTACTGCCTAAAATGCAGCATGGAGTATCTGCGAGTATGGGTGTCTTTGCACCGATCCGATTCCACCTTTTTATTTGCCCCAAATTGACTTCCCAGCAGTGTGCCATTCACCATTGTTTTCACAGGATAGCAAAGTCATAACCCGCCCTACAGTGACTTTGACAAAGGGCTTAAACTAAAACAGGCCATACAACAGTGCAAGGTTTAGTAGTATACGCTTGTTAGATCATAACATCTCTATTTATTTATGTATTTACTATATTTCTTTAAATATATTTAAGAGTCTCCCAAATTGATACTTATGCCTCTACAGTGTAAACAAAATATACAATCATCATCTGGGAGGATCAATACATCAAAGCACTGAATCTCACAACACATAAAAAAATAAATAAAAGTATATTGTGAAAATCTATACATAATACAGTCTGTACTACTTTTTACATTTTGAGTTTCATTTAATCTTTACGATCAAATCCCCTTTTCATTCTGTCTGGAAAAAGTCTTAACAAGAGAAATGTTGTCAATGAAAATAAAAAAGAAATAAGAATGCACATGATGACTCTTACTTTGTGTTGAGACTTCCTTTTACAATAGGTGTGGTCACAACACTCTTGCTCTTCAATGGTTGGTTGAGGACAGAGAGGGGCACCGTTATCCGTGCAGGTAACTTCCCCTATAATGTTGTCAAAAAAGAGAATTGTTCCTGAGTCATGTGACTTTCAGAAGGTGTAGTTAAGTACAAAAGGCATGTTTGAGGAGTTTCTTAAATAAACAGTACAAAAGGGATCAATGCACACATTTGATAAACTACAATTCTCTCTACAGAAACTATGCAAATGAATAAATCAGCTATTCAGAGAGGGATTTGGGAGGAAGCATCTAGTAGTTTTGAGTGAAAGTCTGCTTCACACCTAACAGCTTGCATTCACATTGTGTAAATTCACATTGTGTCAGCTTGCAGTTCACACCTGACATTCAATTGCAACTCAAGTGACTTATGAACACATTTAATTCCTCTTTTTTCTTTGGGAGATTATCTGGGAAACTGAAAAAAAAAAAAAAAAAAGCCAATTTCCTTGAAATACGTACAGAAACAGAACAATTCTCTTACCGTCTGTGTAGTAACCACTGTAGCAGGGACTTGCCGCACGGTGGCTGTAGCTGTTCCTAGCGTGAGAGCTGAGCCCGAGACTCCAGGAGCCACTGTGATCCCCTTAGCACCAGCCACAACACTGGCAGCCATCGTCCCTACATTAGCGCAAGTAGACGCTGTGAGTGGCTTGCTGCCGGTGGTGGTCGTCACTGTGATAGTTTGACCCTGTTTCTGCGGAATAACACCAAGGCCTGGCATTATCCGAATGGTGGCGCCGCTCTTGTCGGGGGAGGTCACGGTGGAGAAGGTCCTAGATTTCTGGTCACCCACAGTGACAGCCAATGTGGGCATCAGACGTATGGCTGTGTCTCCTGCAGCCTTCAACAAGGTGGAGGTAACAGAGCCTGCTTTAGTGGTCTGAACTTCCCCTGTGCAGGATGAAGCACTGGACACAGAAGAAGGTGAAGGGTGCTGCGGCGTCACGTGGAGAGTGGCTGATATGCTCTTGCTGCCTGTGGCCGCGCCGCTCAGGAAGTCAGGGGTGAGTTTGACAGTTGCAACTGGGGATTTGGCGAGAGTTGCCATCATGTCCGGGGTGATCCGCAGCACCGTCTGGCCTTTAGCGTCTGTGGTGATGGAGGATGGAGGAAGACGTAGGACATCTTTACCCTGGATGCGCAGGTTTGTAGCAGTTATTGGAATTCCTGCTCCTCCTGTCTTCATTCCCAACTGGCCTGTGATGGATACCTTTTAAAAAAAAAAAAAAAA